AAAAGCTGGTGACAATCAACAAGAAAGTTGAAAGAAGAGAAAAAACAAGGGAGGTAAGTGCAGTATCCCATAATGCAGGGCTTGGAAATTAGTGATTTTACACAACTAGTGTTGATAGCAGTTAGCTTTTTATTGAGAAAATGCCACTGGAATTATCATTTAGAGGTTCTGTTGGCAATCATAGCTCAACAATCATTGTGATGTGTTATTTTTGTAATGGAATCCTTCCCCACGGGTTTCATTGTGAAGAAGAAAAGAGAGATGAGACACAAGGTTTTTGATTGTAATAAGATAAGTGAAGATGGAAAAAATCAGTAGTGAAATAATGCTGTGTAACAGCTTACATTGTAAAGTATGGGACAACCATGTGGGAGGTTGAGGGTTCAAGCCCCAGGCTGGAATAACACTCAGGGTCTTGAAATAACTGAGGAGAATGTGTTGCTTTTGCTCTTTTCTATGACAACAGCAAATGATTATACATTTTAGTCTTCTCGAAAAAAAGAGAAATAAACTGAACACTAACACCATATCCTACATCTTTTCTGTACTGGTTAGCTGGGGGCATTAAAGAACCCACATGCTTTTCACAAAGAGTTGGGTATATAGCTCTGGTTGTTGTGGTATAGCCTTGTCATTGTTTACAAAGGCCCCTCTTTAAACCAGCTTGAAGGTGAACTGGGCCAGCCTGTCTTAATATCACAAATAAACTCACAATTAAATAAACACATTCTTAGAGATGGGAACAATCTGATGGTATGGTTTATGGTGGGGGGACCAAAAGTAGTAAAAAAAGACTGAGTTCACAAAGATTACCACTCTGCTCCTTCCTTAAAAAAAATTAGGAAACTTGGTTTTTATTTTAGTCTCCTAACAATTGTTACAAAACTGTTTTATTTCAGCATAAGGCTTTGGTTGCTGCACAGCTTGAAAATGCTATAGAGAAAGAATTACTTGAAAGATTAAAGAAAGGAACAGTAAGTAATGGTTTACTCTGACACAAATGAAATGAACATGATTATTTTCATCACTGTAGTTTGGATTTTTACTGGGAGCATTACATTGTAAAGTGCAGATAAACCAAATAAAATACAATAAATTGACTATGTTCTCCTGTAGTTCTTACTTTTTTTTGAACAAAGATATTTCAATCTAAGTTTTGCTTTGCATTTTAAAAACTTGTGGTAGTTGGGACAATATTTCAATTGAGGGTAATTTGTCTTGGTTATTCCATGAACCTGCTGACATCATTGATCTGATATCTACATATATGTGATAGTGAAGTGACAGTAAGTTGAATGAATACATGTAGGTTAAAAAAATGGATATAAAATACAGTCTGAAAAGTTCGTAATTAAATATTTTTTGGTGTTTGATTATTTTGTTGGCAGTATGGAGATATTTACAATATCCCAAGCACCGCATTTGACAATGCCTTAGACAAAGAAGAGATAGAGGATGAAGAGGAGGAAGAACTTGAAGAAGAAGATGAGGAGGAAGAGGTATTGTATAAGAACAATTAATCTTAACATTTGAGTGTTTTTTTGATTGACTGAATCGGCAGTTTTTGACCTGGACAACTAAAACTCATACAAGCATTTGCATGGACTGGGTAAAAGACTAAGCAATTTTCTCATGAATGTATTGATACATTTTCAAAGTTTTTCTATGCTTTAAATGAAAAACAAAATTTTTAAACAGGAGGAAGAGCCTGAGTTTGTGGCTGAAGATGAGGTTGATGTCAGTGATCTAAGTGATATTGAGGTATGGTTTTTGTTTCCCTTTTAATTGTTGCCTTTTTATCTATTTGCCTTTCACATGTTATGGTGATCAATATGCAACTTCCCCTGAATATGAAAACATTGTCAAGCACATAGGCAAGGAGAGTAAAGACAACCAGCGTTTTGAGAGAAAGCTAGAATCTCCAAACTATCACAAATTAAAAATGTATGGTAGCCTGTATTAGGACATGAAAAACGCATTACAGAAAGTAATTTTGGTGGCATGCACTATTTGTAATTTGCACTTGTGTCACAACTTTGCCCTTGTGTTACAACTGTACACTTGAGTTACATGAAAAATGCACTCATTTTCAGCTAATCAGACATGCATAATTTTTTCTTGAACATTATTGGAATGATTGGCTCAATAGCAACCCTGAGATTTTTGGGGAAGATATGAAATGCATTGGGGAAGGGGAGCTTTGAAATGGTTAAACTGTCAGGAGATGCTGTCTTGGTAGCTAACCTTTTCATTTTATTAATTATTTCAGGACTTCCAAGTTGAAGAAGGTGAACAGGAAACAGAGAGTGAAGTTGAGGAGGAAGAGATTGAAAAAATCCCTACAAGACGTGCAGGACGTAAAGCAAGAGTAGAGATTGAATATGAAGAGGAAAGAGAACCTAAAAGAGCTAAATTAAAAGCTTAATTTGTACAGGACTTCAATTCAGATAACTTATTTTTAATAGGATCTCATCAAAGGGATGTCAGACAATACACATTCTTGATTTATATAAAAAAAGAAAGTGATTTGTAACCCTTGTGGT